GGCACCCAGGTACGGCGTACGGGAGGGCAAGAGGAGGAAGGGTGTTGCGGCGCTCTGTATGTGGTGGGGGGTACTTCACACACAGGCCATGAATTATTCACGACCAGGACGTGAGCAGCTCTCCGATGAGCAGCGCAGGTTGTTAGTGGGTGGGGGAGGGTTCGGGGCTGGGGAGCGAGGGGGAGCGGTGGGGGGAGCGGTGGAAGGAGTTTGGTGGGAGGGAGGGAGGGAGGGCGGAGGAGGAGGAGGGTGGACAAAACCCATCAATCAAGACCAACATATCACACCGCGGCCAAGAAAACATAACAATCACAGAGCAGCTAAACAAGCAATTTTCTGACTCTTAATGTTTCCAAAGTACAGCCTAAATATGTATTTTTTTCCCCCGAACATAATTTTAGTAGATATACTTTAAAGACGCGTCTGCGGTAATAGTACCATTTATTGCAAAATAACATCGTGACAAATGGATGGCCATTGTTAGGCTGTGAATTATATCAATCAGGAAATGGTATATTTCCAATTGCTGCTATTTCCATAATAAAGTGTTGGAGGCAACACGAGACGACTTGTTCTACAGCTTTGTGATTTCCGCCACCCCCCCCCCCTCCCCCCTGGAGAAAGAAAGCCCTCGAAGTGTGTTTTTATTTTAAGCGGCTCAGGGAATTTCGCGAAGCTGCCGGTGCTAAATTCACTTCCCCCAAGTAGACAAGCCATGGTCTTCCCAATCACAACACGAATCCACGAAGCAGCGGAAAAGAGTTAATGGTTTTCGTTAAAAGGGCCAGAGGCACTGATATGGGCTTAAGGGACCTCTGCAGCACTGCCAGTGTGAAATTGACAATATTTGTGTTTACGTATCTCTTTTTTATTGCAAAATTTGTATAAAATGACGACTTATAATTTACGTAAAGTGCTCCCTCATTAAACTGCCATATTTAACATTCAACGAAAACTGTCCCCAACTTGGAAACTAAATGGGTCGCGCGTCGCATCGAAAATTCAGACCATTCTGACCTTTCAAAAAACCCTTAGCGCGGGAGCTCAAAAAATGTAACTTACAAAATACGCGTGTCGCGCGCGGACAGGCGGCGGCACTGCCACGGGCACGAGCGACGGATGGGTGGGTGGCATCCGTCCCGTGTGATTTTTTGAGTGGCAGACATGCGGGCGCTCGGGGAGGAAGGGAGGGAGACGACACCCATCGCGGCCGCCCTCTTTCTCCTCCGCCGAGTGGGCAAAGCGAGCGGGGGCGAACGAGCGAGGAGCACAAACGGGGCTGGGGTCCAATCGGTGGAGCGAGTGGGACCCCATCACTCTGATCCCATGTCAGAGGTTTAATTAGCACACAGCCCAACGCAGCTGAGAGGCAATGGCAGATGAGCACAATTTATTCTCCCCAGGAAGCTTAATTCGGGCCGAAGGTGAAAGGGCAAAAGGGGGTCGTTTTATTATCTGTCTACCTCCTTCGCATACGGATCTAATATAACAGCCTTGGCCCCCCTGTTTATATTCATAAATTGTAAATGGTATGCAGGCCGAGTTGAGGGTTTTTTTTTCTTCTCTGTCTCTGCCTCCCTCACTTTCTCCCGGCAGTTGTCGCCGACTGCCAAATTTGGCCGGTGACACGGCTAAACCAGAAACAGTCGTCCTCGCCGTGCCGTCAGCCGTCAAGGAAAGATTGATATTGACAGTTGGAATTTGAGAAAAGGTTTCTAAAGACAAAAGTTGGTAAATTTTACAAAATATTTATGATGACAGGGCTGGCGTGCTCAAAGGAGGAAGAGGGCTATATTTTTTTTTAGGCTGGCATGTGGCAAGGAAAAAGAAAACTACAGGCACAATGCTAAGCATGACAAAACTAATACATCACAGCAAATAGTTAAATGAATTATTGGTACCACATGCATAAAGTAAGACCAAATATATTTTTTTATGCGCTTGCAGATCACTCAAGATGCGGCTTTAGCGTTAAGCAGCTTTTTATCTTGACATATGCTGAAAAAACCCAGAGAGCGTGCACACTCGTCTCTAAATTACTAGGAAAAATAATACGCGTATTATTGTCGCTCTGCAGAAATTGATTAAATATATTCGTACAGAGCTTGTACGTGTCTCCAGCATATATACCCACATATATGCAGAAGCGGGCGCATGCATGTGGGCGCACATTTGATTCCACTCATTCAGTAGGCTCGCCGGGAAGCGGGAGACGCAAGGCCACGACAACAATTTGAAATCGGATCCGCCCGTTCAATGCGCGACACCGAACGCGCCGCACACACACACACACATCGCCCGCACGCGAACAATTTCAATCGCGTAATTAATATTCGCGTCTCCAACCTTCACTCGGGCCTTGACGATGGACAACGGCGCAATCATGTGACATCGGGGGGGGAGGGGGGGGCCAAGCGGCACCACCGCGACGCCCTTTTTGCCGTCACGACCGATTCGGTCGAGCGACATGAGCACACGTGCGCAAGCAGGCTCGTGGCCGGTGCTGTTTCAACCCCCCCCCCCCCTCGCCTTTGATTAGCCCCCGGCCACTGTAGCTGGCACCGAAAGGGGTGATGACATGGGCAGCAGTCTCGGGGTGAGCACGACAAGCGAAGGAGGCTGCAGCGCCAACGCGTGCCCGACGCCAGGAAGTAATATTTATTAACGAAGTCACTGCTGCTATGCACTTTTAAATCTAGATTGGAAACTACTTCATTTATTACTGCTTTTTTGCATTTCGTTTGCTGTCCTTCGCCCACACCTGGAATTATCAGGGTTGGATACGTACGGTGCGAAAGAAGATCAACATACATACAGTTTGGTTCTTTTGGTAAAGTCACGTAGGTATAAAATAAAATAAGCATGGCCTGCATGGTCTACTGCTGAGGCAGACTGCTTCCCACCTGATGACGGACGCTTGTGTTGCACCCGAAACGTCGTGGTTCATTTTATTTTATACCTACTTGACTTTACCGAAAGAACAAAGAGTATGGATTCCTGCAGTCACGAAAGCTTCAAATCAATACATACATAATAAAAGAGCAAAGTTCCCAAAAACACGGGATTTCTTCGTGCGTTTGTGCCGTACAAGGGAATATAGATGCCAAAAAAAATGGACAGCCACGGTCAAGAATCCTTTTTTTCCCCATGCAGATTTTTTTTGGTTTTGTTAACCTCTAAATTCCAACCCCTGTATTGTAATTCACTCGGACTCTCGACCGCATAATAAATTCCTCTTCTGCGTGGCTGCTTTTAAAATCGATGTAGGGCATTTCCAAATGTTTGCCGGCTAAAAACATTTTAAAAGGGCCATTCTTTTTTTTGTTGGAAATACTTCACCGTGAACGAAGCTACATGCAGGTGGTTTTCGTTTGAAGCCTTTATAGTTGGTGGGGGGTTTTTTTAAACGTATTTTTTCTAACTATAAGGTTGCATTTTTCACCGTCAAAAACGGCGAGCGTGACGCTACGGGGCTGTGTGTCTCTCAGGCCACCCTCGGTCCAAGCGGTCCAAGCCTGACAATTACTCGGCACATGCGCCCAATGAACAAATGAATTAAAAGGCTCTACGGTTAACGAGGCAATGGGCCCGTTGAGATGAGCATTGTGCAGTTCAGGGGCATTCGCAATATCCAATATTCTTGTTTTTTCATGATCCAGGATATCCTTTTTATGAACCAAAGGACTATATGCAATGGAGCAAAACCGAATCAATATAAATGTAAAGATGCATGTATTACTCAATTAATGTCAGCTTTTGGCTCATGATATGCGCCTGGAATTACTTGTGTTCAAATAAAGTTATTCAATTCATGTGTGTTGTATGTAATCGGTTCACGTAACCCCTGCAGCCACTACCGTTCACTTTAATGAGTAAACATGATAATTTAATCGTGAATGGAATTATACTTCGAATAAATAAAATTAATTGAACTTCCAGGGGGATGGGGGTGCCGGGATAAGGGAAAATTGTTTCATCCTTAACTCAAACATTTTCACCGAAGAATATTCATAAACGATTTGCATGGTTAGTTACGTGTGGTGCAAAAAAAGTTCACACATACACACACGACCCGCACGACAACTCATTTACATAGAGCATAACTGATCCATTCGAAAAGCTATTTAGTCAACCTGTTGCATGTGTTGCTTCAAAAAAATACACACAACTCGGAACTTAACAAGATCAGCTTGCAATACACGAATTAACCTACAATGTGTCCTCAAAATATAGTGGGTGGATATACCATGCCCTGTGGGTCTGTATACCGTGCCGTGTATGTAATGGGGTTTTTAGTGGGGCTTGTACAATTTTAAAAGACGTTGGGAAAACTACCGAAAATCACACTCCCGAAGCGGAACAAGCAAAGAACTTGCAAAGCAACACAACTCGTCGTGAGCTGCGTCTCCATGCGGCGCAGAAACATCACGTGCCAGTGTTAGTACAGTGCTGGACAGTAACTACCAGGGCACTGGTTTGCGTTCCAGAATTGGTTTGTGATTTTCGGTGGTCTCAGCGATGTCTGTTTTTCCACCACTCTTTTACAACAAAACGTTTACATGAGTTGCAACACAACTCAACAACGCAAGCTGCAAACGGGCTAGGTTTGTTCGCCATGCAAATAACGCGGTTTCGTTACTGCAGATCGAGAGCAATCCCCGCCACCGAATTAGCCCGGTATTTTGGGGGGACGCGACGTTTGTGCGCGTGTACACATCGCGTAGCGGTTTCGTCCTACGAGCAGCACCGCCGCCACGACCACCAGCACCACAGAAACACAAACGTGTCCTCCGCCGGCTCTCAGCCCCGTAACGAGATACACGCGGGAGCCCCACGCTCGTTTGAGCAGGAAACCACTTGGCCGTTTTTTTTTATGTTGTTTTAACGTTGCATCTCAGAGTACGGACACCCCAAGCGCGTGTGGGGGGGCCGAGGAGCCGCATCAGCGAAAGATTACAGGCGAAGATTACAAACGTTGTGCCGAGTGGCTTGCTACTCACTCTGAGGTAGTTGAGGGTGATGTTGGTCAAGCCGTTGCGAGTGATGTTCTTAGACAGCTGCTCCAGCATGCTCGGGTCTTGCGCCTTCATTGATGTAAGACAGAGAAGCGAGCGAGAGAGAGAGAGAGAAAAAACAGAAAAAAAGAAAGCAGAAATGTATGTCAGTGCTAATCCAAATTAATCCCACGGCTTTGCAGAATTACACCCAATCCAACCCCGTCGGAAAAAAAATACTCCCGACTCAAATTTTTACCTACTTTTTAGTGAGTTAATCCCCAATCTCACGCTAACGTCTGTGCCACGCTAACGTCTTTGGTAAAGTGTCCTTACAAGGGACTGAGAGGTGTCTAGCAAGGCTCAGGATGTGATGCGCTCACCTTTGATCCATGTTGCGCCCGTTTAAAAACTGGCTTTGCCTCTCCCACGGCGCCCTTCAAACAAAAAAAACCTTTAAACCCACATGTCCCATCATCTAGCGAATGTCGCAAAATTTGCAGCTCTGCCTTCGCAAAGTGCGCTCCACCTTTGTCCGAACACTGCTACGGCCAAATTAAGAGTGTTCGGGATCGAGTGTGGATCGTGCCACTCAAAGGGCTTGTTGTCCTAAAAAAATTGCAATGTACCCCTTATTAACGAAGGCTTGCAAAGAGAGTCCATTGTTCAGTGACAATTTTTTTGATTTACCGATAAAGGCCAATTTTGTTCCCGGTGCATTTTGGGGCGGTAAATTAACGTTGCCACGCCACCCAAAATCTCAAATTTTAAATTTAGCTTTATTTTATTCAGAATCCACTTTTCTCAAAGATTAAACCAAATGAAGTGACTTTGGTGCAGGCCAGACTTAATGTTCCTGGTATTTTTTTTTGTCAAGTAAGCTCAGCCTAACTGGGAACAGGAAGGTGGGCCTGCAAGGGGCAGTAAAGGAGGGGATGATTGCTGAAATACTACACCACATCCTCAAATTCTTTCCCTGTGGAGGCAAAACAAAGATGCAGCCGCAGGCAGATTCCAGTTCGGCTCAGTGATCAGGAATGCACGTGGCAATGGACAAAGGACCATATCTGCTGGGCCGGCATGAACGCCCAACGGCAAAAGCGAGCGGCTCGATTTATGAAAATTTAAAAACTGTCGCAGCGGTGGAGAGTTCGCAACGGAGGGGCAGGCTCGTGGAAAACTTTTTTACCGAGTTGCGTCCCCAGGCGAACGCGCCGAACGAACATGCTTGCCTCTCAGTGCCGGTTCTGCAACTATTTGGGACGAATCTGCTACCCATCCGCAGCAAATCGGCGAGAGTTCACACTGCGGCCAGCTAATGTTATAGCTCACTTCACATCTCCATCAAGTCGTACTCTCACCGGCGGTCAGTCGCCTTCCCATCACTCTACTACCACTACTGCCATGGCCACCGCTCCAACGAACATCCCTCCTCGATTCCTCCACCCATCATTAGACCTCCTTTGCCAGTACCAAAATATAATAATAGGGGCTTTCCCCTTTTTTTCTGGCAACAAAACTGAAACCTTTTTACAAGGATTCATGTCTGCATTAACCACAATACTTGCAGTCAAAATGCAAACAAAAACACACTATGATAATATATGCATTGTCCTTGAAACTGATTGGTCCACACCAAGGGACGGCTTTCTTTTGAGCCTCGACCCAATTGGTGCTCGACCAGAGGATGCATTTTGACTGCAAGTATTGTGGTTAATGCAGATCTGAATCCTCGTAAAAAGGTTTCAGTTTTGTTGCCAGAAAAAAAGGGGAAAAATCCTCCACCCATGTTGACCACTCGGGTCTACCAAACTGACTGTTTCGTCTCAACCATGATGTGTGCAAGCACAACACTGCAAGTCACAACACTTCTCTGGAATTCGTTTGGGCCTTTGCTCAGCAACCGTGACTTAAAAAAAAGAAATCTCTGTGCTCCATCGCGGCGATGGCACTCGCGATGTCGTGTAGGCCGAGGCACACGCCAGCATCGGTCGCTCAACGTGGGCCAACCTAACCGGGTGGCTGGGTTTTGTGACAGAAATCAAAAGTTAAAACGAATCGGGCAACATCTTCAACAACTACACCAAGAGGGGCAAGTAAAAATAAATAGTTCTTGGAAATAAATTGCATGAATTTTCTAAACGTGGGAATTTTCTTAAAATGCATATTTTAAAAAAGATCTCAGTTGCATTTGTATAATTAAATAACGCATGAGCAGTAGGCATCACCTTCAAATAACATTCTAAAACTGGCTTTGTTCATTAGGATGCAATAGGTGACACTGGTTCAACAGCAGAGCGTATTGCTCTTTATCATAACAGGAGCCAGTGTTGGAACGCTGCCGCGGTCGTTTGCCGCGTACAGAAATATGAACCCAGGGCCGGGTTCGATTCCTGGCCATGGCTTTTTTTAATCAGTGGCGAGTGAAATCGAAACCCCCGCCCCCCCCTTTCCCAATTTGTACCGACCAGCGTGGTGAAGTATGGTTAAACAACCATCATGACCAATATGGCATTGGGAAGCCTTTATCCAGCAGTGCAGTGAAAAATTATAATAAGGTATACAATTCAATCACATGAAATTTAATATATAAAGAAATAGTATTGCTTGTTAGCACTGATAACAAGAATATACTAATTACAACACGATCACATATTATTTTAATTATTATTATTGTGCTTCAAAGCAACCATATTACTAATCATAGCAAATCTGGTATTACCATCAAGTAACAAATTATACAAATTAAGAACAATTGGTTATACAAGTTAAGAAAAATTGGTTTAAAACGTGTTGTGCTCATTTAACAATTAAAATTACATTCATAATACAGTAAAAATAATCAAAGTGCTATTTTTTTAAATTAAAATAGTACGCCAAATTATGTTCTGATTGTGTTACAGTCAGTGCTATCAGTATCATTAATACAAAACACCAGAAGAGCATTGGGGCAGTGGTTACTGCACCGCGCCCTGCCTGAGTTCAATTCCCGGCCAAAGCGAACATCAGTTACAGCCGAGCCAGTCCTGGTCATCCCAACCCGTACTACTTTTCACCAACCCATAGTAAACAGCATGGTAAAGAATAGTGAAACAACAACCAAGACTGACAAAGGGCTATAAAATGAATGTTATTTTTCACCAACAGCTAACAATTTTTTTTTTATTCTGATAAATTCCAAACCACCACACGGGCTGCCTTGCTGGTATTTACAGTTAAATATTAAAACCAGGATTGGTGGAGAGGGGACCCCAACAAATATAGAAATAATGTATTCCTATATAAAATAAAAAAATTCGTTTGATGGAGGCGTCAGTGTCGGATCACACAAAAAGCCTGATATTAACCCGAGTCTTCCTTAGCCGAGTGGTGTACATCGTTACGCACCTTTGGCACACGATATAATCAGACGTACGGGTGATAATTTTACATCTCAGCTGCTTTTATGGCTGTCCGTGGGTATGAAAGGCGGCCAGGCGTAGCTAACTGTGCTTACACAGGCCCGGATTTTATATTCCCTCCACGGCTGGCCTCTCTCAGATCCTCCATCCTCTCCAGGACCGTGTGGCTGGCATCATCGTGGGGAAAAATAATTACCATCCCACCGCAAGAAAGTAGAGCCACACTCTGCACCGCAGGCCAGCCCCTCTCACCGCTAAAAATAGACGGCGTGTCTGGAACATTTTTGCACATAAAGCATCTAAACATTCCTCCTCCCATTTTATTACACAAGCCAGCGTTTTGCCCGCCGCATTTTATTGGTTGCTTGATTTAATTTTCCGAAAGTGGATTTAATTTCTTTAATTTGCAAAAGAAGGCACGAGATAGGGTTAGTTTTCGTAAAAAAAAATTAAGCGTGTACGCTTTTTGTTAAACCAAGTTACTTTTCACTCCAAATCTGCACCATGTTAAATTGATACCTTTGCAATATTTACGTCATAAAATGAACATTGGCAGAACTTGGGAATTTTTTTAACGCCATTTACATTTTTTATATATATAAATGTACGTATAGTCGCTTAACCTAAGTGGGCAGCTGCTGGTGCAAGTTGCAGGCGAGTCGAGTTAATACCTCACGGAGCCCGGAACTGGCCGCGCGCGTTCAGTGTCTCTGTCATGTCCGAATTACTCGGCAGGGTGCTGTTGTCAACATGGACCGGGTGGCAGCGGCGGATCTGATCAATGCGTCTCGACGTTGATGGGGCTTCGATGGAGTGCGCCCTCCACAAAATAAGCAGGCACGTTTCCGGGGCAGCCCCGTCGTCCCCTCTCCGTTTGGAGAAGGGATATAAAGAGAAAAGGAGTCCCTCTGCTGTGCCCCTCTCCACGGGAGACAAAAAAAACCCGCTCCTATTCACGAGGCTCGGTTTAGGCGGGACACGATCGGCTTAAATGTGTGTGAAAGATAAATCGGCCTGCTCTTGGATGCAATTGACCTCCACCGATGCCCCGGACTGGTCTTTTTAAGACCGGCGTTACACAGATGCAGGCGAGAGAAATGCGGCCGGTGCTCACAAAGAGGATTTGTTTGGAACAATTTGACGTGGGGCGTATTTACACCCAAAAGAAAAAAACAAACCTGCCCCGGAGCTCTCCTCCACTTGGAAGGCGGAAACGGCCGCAGAAAGCAGAGTGGTCAGCCGCGGTGTGTTGCTACGCGTGCGTGCAACAACATGGAGGGGGCTTGTCCGTGCCGCACTCGGGCACAACGAGCGGTGGCACGGCACGCGCAAGCGGGCTTGGCTGCAGCGTGCCCGCGGGGGGCGCAGCGCTAGCAAGGGCCCTTGCGCACGGTGGCCGACAAGCGAAATCGGCAAAGCCTATTTTAAAAAACTAAACTTATAAACTATTTTTGTTTCACCACGTAAGGTCCACTGAGCTATATAGCTCTTTTTTCAGAAGTGATCTGGCCACAAATGAGAGCCCAACGAAGTGGCTTATCACATGGCAATTTATAACAGCCGAATACTCTAAACAAGTGATGTTGATTCTAAATGTGGAGGGAAACACCGGAGGACCTGAAGAGAAATCCAACTGACCACGGGGAGAGATACACACAAGCTCCAAATATACAGAAGGCTTCAGCCAGGATCGAACCCACAACCTCCTGTGTACCAAGCGAGGTAGTTCACATCTCACGAGTTCACACTATTTTACAGGGCAGCACGTGGTTGCCCAGTGCCGCTCGGGCGACGCGAGGGGAGTCAGTCGGGGGAAGGACGCGGCGCCACACTCACGTGCACGGCAAGGAGGCTGCGCGGGATGAGCTCCCGGTGCTGGCGTATGGTGAAGTGCCATGATCGGATCCTCATCATGTCGTCGAACGCGAACTCCAGGATGAGACGCCCCTCCGTGCACACCTGGGAGAACCGCGGGCAGGGAGGGAGGAGAGAAGAGGAACCCAGGGGGGCAGCGTGAGTCAGGGTGGGACAAATTTAAGCGTGCCACAACGTGGCGGCAGCAGCAGCTTTGCGATGGCGACACGGCTGATGAAGGGAAAATGATGAAACTTGCATAATTTATCTGTGTGTGTGTCAAAGAGAGCGTTTGTTATACATTGAGTTCCACTAGCAAATGTCCAATATCCGCATTGTTAAGCCATTTAACGATCTAATAATAGCAAGGAGAGGAACGTTTTGTCAAATTCATATTTGCCGTAGGTGCATGTTGCCACTATAAGGACATAATTTTCTTAGCGAGTAATCACCCGCTAAGGGGAAATAAACAAATAAATAAAACCGACTTGGTTTAAATGAAATGTTTATACATTTCAACCCAACAGGTGCTTTTTAGATAATGACAAAAAATATATAAGTTTAGAATTGTTTCCTCTTTCCCGCATAACACCCACAACTCTTTGCGCTCCCCATTACCCCAGCACCGGGTGCCGTTCCGCCCACCACGAACGAGCCATGAGAATCTTCACAGCAGCTTTATCTCACTCAGCCCAGCAGGCGAGGTCCGTGAGAACACGTGCAACCAAAAAAAAGTGGTTCTGATTGTCTAATTCCCATCCCCCACTGCTCAAGACCCCCCCCCCCTTTCTTCACCCCTCCCCCCACACAGCCCCCCCCCCCCATCGTCCCACCTTCCCCGTTCCCCCACTCCCCCTCGCGACCCCTTCCCCATCCTCTCCGAGCACCCACCTCCTCCCCGTCGCCATGACAACCGGAATCACTGATTAGTTGCCTGGGCAACCGTTCTTGGCCACGGTCCAGTGAGCGTGCAAAGCCTCTTTCTCGGTAGGGGGGGGGGGGAGGTGGTGGTGGTGGGTGGATGGGGAGGCAGGCAGGGGGGGGGGGCTGGGGAGCCGGTGGGGGTAAGGGGGGGGTCTGTCACGGTCTGCTGAGCTTTGAGCACGTGGGGTTTGTGCTCGATTGTGGTGGCGCCTGGGCGCTCACGGTCCGTGCGTTGTTCGTGCGCTGCGCTGCGCTCGACTCGTGCCGTGCACCGCATTTCTTCCTTTTCGATGAACGTGGCGTTCTTCCACCTCTTTTCGTGTCATCGTTTAAAAATGAACGCGAGACGCGAGCCGCGTAGCCAATTGACGCGCGCGCATTTTTATTTATTTCCAATTTAATTATAATTATCAACCTCGCTGCACACGTATCTGTGAACAAGATGGTACCGATTTTACGGTACACATTTCCACGTCCACATAGGTGCACACACACACACACACGTGTGTGTGTGTGACGGCACACGACGCCTGTCCCGAACGCTCCTATTTATAATACAGGCTCTCGCATTTCATTTTGACTGTATTTGCACGCCGGTAAAACGGTGGCCTGGCCCCCCAACCCCCCCCCCCCCCCATACCGTACCGGTACATTAGAAGACACCAGTGTCTCCACCTGCGCGCTGTGTGCGATTTGCCGATATTTGTTCAGAAGCCTGGGGTCTCATTTCTATTCCGCTGCCCCCCCCCCCCCGTTGTGCCACAACACGGCCTGTATGTTTAACATTAGTTATTGTTGCCGTCCAGCCCCCCCCCCGGCTCCACGAAAACGTCGTCGGCTCGCTCATTCGCGTCGCCGCCGCCTGCCGCAGAGGCCACGACGGCCGGCCGTGGTGTCGTGACCGTGCGGCTCCCGGCAAGGGGAAGGCAGTTCCATCCTCGAGAGATTTTCATTAGCCTCGCCGACGGCGATCGCCCCCCACGTGCCGGGAAGACGACGGGAAGTCTGCAGGCCGCCGCTTCGCTCGCGCCCCCCCCCACACACCTCCAACCCGGAGCGAGGAGCGCATGGCACGAGGAGGCCAACGGTGCAAAAAGAAATCACCGCCTTCAGAAGGCGCTGATCTAGTGAACATCTTGAAGATCTGACAGAGAGCAGATACATTGCCCCAGCGTCGCATTAAGTCAATTCTCGGGTGAGACGCAGCACTGTTATCAAAAACCCGAGCGCTTACAAGCGCCGGTGTTGGATAATACTCGGGGCTTGCCAGAGTTCCGGGTGGGGGCTTCTCAGCAAACCGCGACATGGGCACTGCTGCACGGCCTAAGGCACTCGACATCCCCGCAGAGTACGGGGGGCATAGATGAAGCATGAGGACGTGGCCAGGCTTTTCCGGGCATCGCCTTGACGCATCTGCCAAGGGCGGCCTGTGACACCTCGGCGGTGCGTGACCCTGCCAATGTTTGGTTGTGACCAGTCACCCAGTCCAGGTGCGCTTGCCAGCACCCCCCCCCCAATCCGCGGTGACCTCCCTGCCCCTCGTATCACCGAGGGTTGGCAAACTCGGCTCTCACGATGCCACCGGTGCCGTGGCTCAAAGTCGACTCGACGTGCCAGGAACGCAGACCAAAAAATTGCGGTTCTTTGTTGATCTACCGGAAGTGGTGGTTACGCCTGCCGAAAAGGTCGCATCGGTTGGCTAGCGTGCCTAACCTTACCGGCAATAAACTAACTATGGTCACCAATTACCGCACGCGGTGGAAGCAGCAGGCGTGTAAAGATGCATCGATTAAAATATTTTACGCTCGCTAAACCCGCATTGAATTGTTGCACCGCAAAAAGCTGTACGCAATTGGTTTCCATAGACCGTGCAGACCACAACAGATTCTACATTCACTGCAATGATAAAAAAAGTACAAATATCTTGAATCGTATCGCGATTCTGAATGACAATTCACCAGACTGCAAGGGGCGGAGTGGGGGGGGGGCACAGGCAATTGTTCCGTCAAATAAACAGTCGGCAAATAACGCAAACATTACCGCCCAAGTCTGCTTATTTTTGTTTAACACGTCGTCGTGATGCGGATGAAGATGACGATAATAGCGACGATGGCACACAAAAGTAAATGGCATACGGTTATTTGCGACGCTCTGAGAAATGATCAGCTTTGGTTTTTTTTTCATCAGCTACAATTATGTTAATGGGAAATTATTGCACGTCATGTTAGCTTGTGGAGAATTATATTTCAAGAAGCCTGCATAACACCTAGTTGTCAGAAACAGTCTGTTTGTGCAGACAAGTGTTAACAATTGACAGGTCTCTGCTCATGCTCGGTTATTGTTCAATGTTTTAATTAAATAAGGATCATAGTTCTGTCAGCTGCACTGCACGGGAGCAGAGCTTGCTTGCTCTATGCTGCTTGCTCTATGCTGCTTTGAAGGCACTGGTAAGTAAAGGCTGGTTAGGCCTTGCCTAGCTCTAACAACAAATGTTGCCTCTGTGCCCAGGTGAAATGAAGCGGACTTCGGCTTTCCCACAACACACAGCCACTCGCACAAATATAACGATGTACTCAAAACACGAAGAGAGGCAAATATACCACCAAGCTAAACGTAGTGAATACAAAAAAAACACCGAGTGCGATTCTGCAGTTGGCAGTGCTGCACAAGCACAAAAAACAAAAGCACCACATTTGTCAATAACACTAGCCCTTCATATCTGCGATGCAGAAGAGCCATTGCCCAAAATGTCACCCTACATCTATATATTTTACTATAATGATTTTTTTACTCATTTGGCAGTATTTGTTAAAAGTTGCGAGTTATACTCCCTTACTGGCAGATAACCAAAAGATGAACAAATGCATAAGCATGCAACCATGTACACAGAGTAGAGATTACACGCATATACACATTCTCTCTCTATATATACCTGACATGAATATCAGAAAAAAGCAGTGTGATGTTTAGTGATAACGGGTGACAAGGCGTGTTGGTTCTGTGCGCTCTCATCCTGGGCAGGCCTGGCATGTTTGTGATGTGCGATTTTGCTATGTTTTGGCGAAATGTCGCCAAATCTATCACCATCGCGTAAGCGGCACTAAAGAGGACCTGTTTGCTTCGGGGGGGGGGGGAGGGGGGAATGACTTTTTTTTATATAACAGGTGATTAATTTGGCCGGGATCATATTGGGGAAAACAACCCCGGGGGAAATGACTAGAAACTGCCGCATACAATGTGTGTGTGTACGTATCACATTCATCATCATCGACCATGATCAATCCACTGCTGGATCAAAGGGGTGCCGTGATGGCGAGATGTTAACTACCTCGTCTGGTACGCAGGAGGTAGTTGGTTCGATCCCGACCCTGACACCTAAACAATTGGAGTTTGTACGTTCTCTCCTTGGTCGTGTGAATTTTTCTCAGGTCCTCCGGTTTTTCCCTCCACAATTAGAAACATGCGCTTAAAGAGTATTTGGCTGCTATAAATTTCCACGTGATAAGCCACTTCGTTGAGCTATCATTTGTTGACCAGGTCGCTTCTGAAAATGAGCTCTACAATCGCTCAGTGGGCCTTTTACCCCGTAAAATAAAGTTTAGTTTTGAAAGGACACCCAAAAAAGTAATCGTCATCTCACGGGTCCTGCAATGGTAACAATCCATATGGCGCCTGCACACGAGATGATTTTATCGCTCCATCTCCACGGTGGGGGATTTTTATTTCCAGCACGTTCCCCTCCTCTTGGCTGTCACTCTGTCGTGAGTCTCGGCCACACAGGTCCCCCCACATCCCTTCGCTTCTCGTCCTGTTCTCAAGCCCACTTCATTTTTCTGCAGTCACTATGATGCATCTAACTTGTGCATGCTCTCTCATTCATGTGTTCCTTTTTCTGTCTCTCAGTGTAATTCCAAGCATGCATCTTCTTCCATGCTTCTTCGAGCACTTTTGAGCTATTGTTCCATTTTCTTTGTCAATGGCCATGTTTCTGCTCCGTATATCAAAGCAGGCAATACATTACCTGCCGTGACATATTAGTTGATATGCGCATGTGTACACACATTACACACACACACACTGCATATATACAGGTATTCAGAATATATACACACACACAGATGAACCAGGTCAAGAGAATAATGTTCATGTAATAACAGACACGAGAGAAAAAAAATCGCGCA